AACAGGAGGGCCTGCTGGCCCTGGGGTGGGCCGGGAGCGACACGCAGGGGCTGAGTGGCCCGGCCCAGGGCCCCACCGCTGTTTCCAAACCGCCGCTGGGCGGCGCTGTGTCCCTTGTTCTCCCAGAAGAGTCTCCCGGGGAGATTCCTCCCGCGTCCTGCACCCCGGCTGGCCGAACGACGGCACCGGCCTCAGCGGCCAGCACGCTCCGGCCGGGGCTGCCACGCCGGCCTCAGGCGCTGCGCGAGGAGCTCACAGCCTGTCTCAGACCCCGCCTGAGATGCGGCAGACGGCAGCCGGACTCTCGGCCTCTGGCCCGCGGGGCGGAGGCCACACGAGGCCAGGCCGGGTGGCCGGGCACCACCCACAGGCTGACTCCGCTGCCCTCGGGGTGGGCCTCAGGCAGCAGCGCTCTGCGCCCCGCTGTGTCTGGGGAGCTCCTCGCGGCTCTGTGTAAAATAAACACGTGAAATTTAAAAAAAAAGGGAGAGCGCTGACAGTCGGGCTGGGGGCCGGGAGGAGCCGCCCCGACGCGCACGACCAGCGGTCACCAGGGCGGCGAGATGGGCAGCCCAGGGGCACGGCGCGGGCAGAAGGGCACGAGTGCCAACAGCAGTGCCGCCCCCGGCCTGCCCCTGCCAGGGAGCCACCCCTGCCCTGCCCAGCTGCTTACCCACATGAAAAGGAGGCTTGGATGGCACAACCGCCATGGAGCCCCCAAACCCTCCTGCGAGGATGCTTGGATGGCACAACCGCCATGGAGCCCCCAAACCCTCCTGCGCCTAGGCAGCTTGGGGGCTGGGCGGCCACCTGCCAGCGGGTGGCCTGAGGCTCGCGCAGGGCGCCCCCTGCAGGAAAGGGGGTGCCTAGGTCTCAAAGCGGATCCCGGGGCAAGGACCCAGGACTCCTCTGGGGCGCAGCGCAAGGTCCAGAGCGCAGCAGGCCGGCGGCCTCCCCACCCAACGCGGGCCGCCGCCTCCCGGCCACAGCAGTGCCAGCGGGCAGGCCTCGGCGCGCTGTCCCCTCCCCCCGGCTTTGGGGGCGTCGGCAGGGCCCCCCACCCTCTGGCTCCCTCCCAGCCGG